GCCCCCACGCTGGCCAGGGGGCCCCGCGCCCTTGCCCCTCCTCCCCTAAGAGACGGGGGGGCTGCAAACCCACCGGGTTGCCACCTCATCGCATCCCATTTCCCAAGCCATCTCTGTGCCCTTTGCCTAAGGAGGGGACTGAAAATGTCTCGACGGGCAGGTAGAGAGACCCAGCGGCCTGCAGCCTGTCTCACGGAGGAGTGGAGCAGGGACCCCAGCCCTGAGTGCCCCAGTCCTACTTCGCCTCCTGCGCTCCCCTCTTTGCCATCTCTCCATGGAACCTTGACGTTGACATGGCTCACCTGGCTGGGGACATCCTATTGTCTGATGTCGCTACATTTCCCACTTTTACAAACAGCCCAGAAATGAAAGCTGGAGGCACCTCGGAGCTGACAGCCAAGCCCCAATAAGTAGGGGATCAGCATCCACCCCCCCCCACCCTCTCCAGCTCCTGTCCCAAGCTCCCACCTGTGCAAGCAGTGTGCTCAGTGCCATTGGGAGTCCTATTTATTGCCTCTTTATCATCCCGGCCAGGAAGGAGTGGGGGGAAGGCTGCCACCGCCCATGGCCCCGGACAGGTGCAAGCTCCCAGGAGGCCACCGGGGTGACTGGATTGAACTGGCTACAGGAGAGCGGCCTCCCTCGGGAGGGCGAAGATAAGTAGGAGAAAAACACAGGGGAAGGGCAACAACAGAGAGAGCTACTGTGTGGCTTCTGTCCCTGGGGATGTGTCCAGAGTGTGAGGCCCATAGATAGGCCAGGAGCCTGAAGGGTGGGTTGGCCTGGCCTCTGCCACAGAAGGATCCGCCCTTCTTTCACCTTCTGCAGGAACTGGAGTGACCTGGCTGGACTCCGCTCTCTGCTGACCAATTACAGGCCTTTCGCAGCCCCAGCGAGCCCCCGCCAGATATGACCCACCTTCCCGAACTGCTCAAAATATTGCTTCACGTCTTCCACCGTGGTGTTCACTGATAGCCCCCCCACAAAGATCTTCTTCGTTCGAGTCACCATCTGTTAGGGGCAGAGAAATGAGAGAGTAGGCATCTGAGTCCTGTGGCCCACTGCCACCAGCAGGGGCTCGAGCCCTCCTGCCAGGGTGCCAGCTGACAAGCTCTCTGTGACCCCAGCTACTTGGAAGGCCCCCCTGAGCTCCCCCTTGGACCCCCACCTCTAGGCCTGTCACAGGCAGCTGTGCGCCCCACACCCTGGCTGGTTCCAGTGTGCCTCCCTCCTGCCTCCCTCCCTGGGGTGTGGGTGGGGAAAAGTCTTTCCCTAAAGATCACCAAAGAGAAGGGGGTGGGTTAGTGACCCAGATCTACAGCCTAACTTAAAGACTCGACCAGCTCCCCCTGGGAGAGCCCAGGGCCCATTACAGGGTACCCCTAAACTCCATGCCAACATTTTCCTCATCAACCTCCTCCCAACCCAACCTCTGGCAGCCCTGTGGCCCCAGTCCTGTTTTAGGAAGAACACATGGTCCTAATTACCCCAGGAGTGCATGGCTAATCCACGGCAATTCCCAGCCCCATCCTAACACTAAAGCACCTTCTGTCACCAAACTGCTTAATGGAATTAACCCAATTCCAACCATGTGCTCCCTGGTGTGGCTTCCTTCGAATACCTGCTCTGTAATTGCTTTCAGGCCCTCTGCTGGACCCTTCCAGAGATGCCCCTTTCCTGTCTCTTAAAAGTTGCTCCTCTCCCTCCGCTGTGGCAGGAGCCGGGAGCCATGGCTCAAAATCCTAAAGCACCTTAGTTCCCACCAACCCTCTTATAAAGGAGAAACTAAGCTTTCCTGGAGAGGGACCTAGTCCTAGGACACTTGATAGGTCAGCAGACACAGGGGTCCTGCTCCCTGTTCTGTAATCGGCCTTCCTGTCTGTCCCCTAAATTCAACTGCTTAAAAATTAAGATCTGACTAGTTGCCCCGGAGCCTGGAATAGAATCTTAGGCCTCTGCCCTGGACCAAAAGTTTAGAGTGCAATATAGCTCAAGTGCTCAGAAATCTGTTTTCCGTACACCCAGAAAAATTTGTCACAGCACCAGGGAAAGAGAGCACTCGGGAGGGTAGCCACAATCACCCAAGTTGAAAGACAACAGGTGATGGACTCCCTGGTCCCTTCCCCCTCCTCAAGCCCAACACATCCCACTCAAGAGGTAGCTCCCTGGCCCAACTCTAGCTCGGCCTCAGGGGGTAAGTCTGTCCTGGATTTGACCTCCAGAGGCACTGGACACAGAGACTGTGATCTCTGAGGTCAGAATTCCACTCGGGGTCCAAACCAAACTGGCTTCAAATATAGGATAATGAGTCCCCTGAGGGGTCCCCCTTCTCCCAATGCATGCAGCCCCCTCCCTGGCCTACCCCAGAGCACAGATGGAAAGATGATACATGGTGTCTTCAATCCACAGAGCAAGGATACCAAGAATCCCCCCCATCCCAGTCCACACAGAGGTTCCAAAAGCATCTTTCATAGAAAGGAATGCTGGGAATATCACTTCCCTCCATAACAGAGCTCCTCCCAGAGAGAGACACACCTACCTTGGGCTGTGCTCGCCGAGGAAAGGCCACCTTGGGATCAATCTGAAAGAGAAAAGGCCTTGGTTATCACACTTCAGATGGGTGACACACAGTCTTCAACCCTGAAAACCTCTCATCCCAGGACACAGAGGTGACAGAAACCACCACAGCCTCAAGCAGGAAAGTATAGTGGTTAAGTATTTAGGCCCTAGAGCCAGGCTACTGGGTTTGGATCCCACTTACACTGCTTTCCAGCTATGAGACCTTAGGCAAGTTACTTAACTCACTGAGCCTCAGGGACAAGCTCACCTGTAAAATGGGCAAATAGTACATCCACCTCAAAGGGTCATCTGCAGGTTATATGAGATAATGCCGCTGAAGCACTTGGCATGGTGTCTAGCTTACAGCAAGAACCCCAAGAAGTAAGGAAAGTTATTCTTTTAAGCACCAGGTACATCGAGGGCCTTCACAGCTTAACTGACTTCACACAGATACCTGTTTAGGTGAGGCATGCAATTCTGACTTTTGAAGTCTTGCGAATGGAAAGTCTTTGCTTCAAGATAAGAGTTCATAAACCACCAGGAATGGACTCAGTTCTGTTTCCCTATTATCGACATCTAACAGCTCTCCTTGAGGGTGCAAACAAACAGCTTCCTGAGAATGCAGCTAGGCTTGGGGTGAAGCAGAGCCCAGGTTTTGGTGACGTGCAAGCCGATGGGACTTGGACTCAGAAATTCTGGGCCCCGGCCAAGCCTGTGATCTTGGGCACTTGCCTGGCCCCTCTCAGCCTCAGTGCCCCCATCTGCAAAGTGGGAACAATCACATCCATTTTTTCCCAGGGGCAGCTGAAGGAAATCAAATGAGATAACGTGGGTGAAAGCGGTCCTTTGTGAACTGCCCTTCATTGCACAAACAAAGGTGCTATTACCAGTGGGCCACCTTTGCCCTTGGCTATGAACAACCAGAAGGGAAAAGCAACATGCATCTGGGAATTCCAGGGTATTCTACCTGTACTTAGAAACAGCAAAAGGCAGGGCATGAGACACTGTGATCAATGCAGGACCTATGAGGCTCGGTCATTCCAGAGTTTCTTGGCACCCACATGGGTGGAGACCACTCGAAAGTTCACCAGCCAATTGCAGGCAAGATCTCTCTTTTCCCAAAGTTCCTGCCATTCCTTCGAAACTCAGCCTTGTTCTAGGCGACTGCCTCTGGCTCCTCTCTGCCTGAATGGCACAAACCAGGGACCAGCTTCCTCTAGGTTCCCCCACTGGAATTTGCTCCAAAATCCAAGCTAGGCAGCACCTCCTCTCTTCCAAAGTCCCACTCAGCTCTAGGGAAAAATCACAGCTGTCCTTTTTCCCTGTCTGAAGATGTGATTTTGTACATCTATGGACACTTTTCTCCTATATTTCCAGGAAGCAGCCTCCCCAGCCACCAGAGCACACCTCAGACAGTGCCCCTGTGCAGACCCCAATGGAGAGATGGTACCCAAGCCATGTCCAGCAGACCCACACACACATCTAATCCCTGATATGCCCCACCTCCACTCTGACTCACAGCTGGCAACATAAATGAAACCCAACAAGTAAATAAAAGGTGAGAGAACCCAAAATAGACTCCCCACAATAAACCAACCTCCCATCACCCCTAACTTAGGCCAGAGAATGCCAAACCCAAAGCCTTTGCCCTTGAGTCCCAAATCTCAGAAGGATGCCCATCTCACCCTCCTTCCTCCCCTCTCTCTTCTTGCCCTTATCAATCTTCCATTCCCCCATGCCCCACCCCCCAGCTCCAGCCCCAGCCCCTAAATCTCAGCTTCCTGAGCGCCTCAGAAGCCATCCGTGCATTCTGAGGACAGGGGATGGTAGGGGAACAGGCAGCTTGATGGCAGATAATCACCAAAAACAATAGGCCACTGTCTCTCCATTCCCAGCTTGGGTCACTCAGTCTGAGCCAAGAAGATCCTTTCAGAGCCGACGAAGTTGAGGCCTGGCCTCATTTGCTCATTACTGGGAGCAGGAGTGGGAGCCACTGGGCAGAGATAACAGGAGCTGGGGACAGGCGGTAATTTAACAAATTCTTGGGCACAACCAGCTATTGTTGCAGGTAAACAGGAGCCAGTGACTGACCCAAGCAGGGAGGCCCAGGGCTGGAGGAGAGTGGGGGAGTGTGGAGAGAGATCACACTGTCCCGGCCCCTTGGCAGATGGTCTCCCCAATCACAGGTCACCCCCCACCCCCATCACAGAGTAACCCCTCCTATGACTTTCTCCTTTCCCCTCTCCCCTTGAGCCAGGGCCTGGGCCAGCGCCCCCTGCAGGGCCAGAGACACTGGGGAGCAGTGGGACAACAGCAAAATGTTCCAGGAGTTTGAATACCAAAGAAGCAGCTAAGATCTAGCCCGGAGAAGGGTTTATTCCAGGCAAGCTAGCTCCCTTCTCCTGAAATCCCTTCCTGGGCAAAGCAGGCCTGGGTCTTCCACACAAAAGCAAGGAGTTAACTGACCAAAAGTCAGGGGAAGTTGGGGTGGGGGTGTTAAGTGATGCTTTGCCATTGGTCTGGAATGAGGGGGTGTCCTGGAGCCAAGTGCTAGTTGCAGTTCACAGAAGCCACGGGGTGGGTCACTGCAGCCCCGACTCACCCGATTTGGGCTAGGGGAGGGGCTCGGTCCCACCCTGCTCTCTGAGGCACTGAGGT